AAAAAAAAATTATTGGAGCTTGGATGGGATGTGTGGCCACACCCACCATACTCACCTGACCTTGCGCCGCCAGACTTGCACTTGTTTCGCTCTCTTCAAAACTCCTTGTGTGGTATAATGTTCAATTCAGATGAGGCTGTAAATCAGCACCTTGTTCAGTTTTTCACAAATAAAGACAGGTCTTTCCAAGAACAAGGAATTAGCTCACTGAAAGATGGCAAAAGGTTATTGAACAAAACAGGCAATATATCATTGATAGATCTTTGTTCTTCATACAAAAATAAATGACCTTTGAAAAACACAGACAAAATAAATCATGACTTTTCCGAAGACCCAATATGTCAATTATATATCAACTTTAACAAACAAATGATTAATAATGTACACTTATCTACCCTGAACCTTGGTCTCTGGAGCCGCTCTAGTTACTGCCCTAGAGGCGTCCCAACCACGTCCAGCTGACAGTTTTTAACTGAGTGTTGGCATAGAAAGAACCTTACGCTTTGAGAGTAGTAGAGTTCTCATTATTTTCAAGGTTTTTGTTTAAAATAGCAAATCACAACAGGAAATAAAATTTTATGTTGTGAGCCAGGACCCAGAGAATATAGTATTTAACTGAAACAATACCGGGGGTGCCAAAAAAATGTCTACAAGTGGACACTTTGGTCAGCGTTGCTCTAGCAGTAGTAGTTCACCATCATCAGAAATGTCTGGAAGCTGATGGGAACCACTTTGAGCACCTCTTGGAATTGCAGAAATCAAACGTGACTTGTATTTAGCTTTTGTTATTGGTATATATTGAGAATTACAATTTTAATACAGTTTTCCTTTCTTAAAATGTGTATACATTTTTTTTTCACCCTCTGTATTTAGGCTTGTAACATGTGATGCTCTCTTATTTTCTATTCCACTTTTAAAATATCCTAGCCTTGAGCTGTTAAACTGATTTCATGGCCCACTAAATAGGTTAAGACTCATAGTTTGAAAAACATTGTCCTTGAGGATTTTGAGACTTTCCCCCCCTCATTTTATAAATGCAGAAATCTAGGCTCTGTAAGTGACTTCTGTAAGTTCACACAGCTATGAAGTGTTAAATGGAAGACCTCATCCAGGAATTCTGTCTTTATGTACAGCTTTCTCCCAAATACAGAGTTTCTCCAGAGAAGTCCTAAATAAGAAACTAAAGGAAACCCAAATGCAACCCCATGAGAAGAGAGACATAGCGTTGTGAAAAGACGGACAAGGAGCATTGAATGGATGTCTCCCCGCAGCCCCGGCATTGTCAATCGTTTGGGGGGCATCTGCTCTGTGCCAGGTGAGATGCAGGAGATGATGGGAGTTCAGAAACTTATCAAACAGTCCCTGCCTTGGAACATGTTTAGCAAAGGCGGCTCCATTGTAAACTGATAAATGACAATGCAGGGTAATTAGAGCCAGCCTAGTGATGTACAGAGCACAGCTGGAGACCAGAGAAGGGAAGGAGGAATTCTGTTTGCAGTGGAGGGGCTGGGAAGAGAAGGGATGGAGGAGCTCGGGAGAGAAGGCTTGGTGGTGGGCGCAGGGGAAGGCGGCGGCGGTGGTGGTGGTGGTGGTGGTGGTGGTGTGGGCTGAATGTCTTGAAGGGAGAGGACACTTGATGGGCAGAAAGAGGACAGTATTTTAGGCAGCTGGAGCAAACTGGAGGCGCTGCGATGTGGGGCTCAGTGGACAGGGGGGCAGGGAGTGGAGGGACCCTCTTTTCCACTGAGTGGAGTCACTGCTGCTCATTGAAACAGTGAAGGGCGGATAGGAAAGCAATATTCAAAAAATATTTTTGGGGGGCTCGCCAAGTGGCTCAGCTGGTTAAGAGCTCGCTTGGGAGTGCCAGCTCTGAGCAGCAGGGCTGTGGTTCGGATCCCACATTGAGGGCCAGTGACGCTCGCCCCCTACAGCTAAGATGATGAACAACAGCTCGACCTGGAGCTGGGCTGCTGTGAGTAGCTGGCGACGGTGTAGGCTGCAGCAGAGCTGCAGTGGGCTGCCGTGAGCTACGAGCTACGTGAGTGGCTGGCAGCCAGCGTGAGTGGCTGGTAGCCGGTGTGAGCTACCGGGAGCCGCTGTGAGCGGCGGACCAATGACTGGCCTCACCTGGGAAGAGCACAATGATTATATCAACATGGGCCAGTGAAGTGACGTCCTCCACAACTAGACTGAGGAACAAAACAGCAACTTGTCTACCTATCTGTTCCCCTTCCCCGATTCCCCAACACTGTTCCCCTCCCCCCAATTCCCCAATAAAAATCTTAAAAAAAAAAATTTTGTGGTAAAACCTTTTGTTCAAATGAAACCACCATGGAGCCTCATGTGTAATTGAGGAGGTAGAGATTTTTTTTTTCTTAATGGGAAACATATATGCCATTGTTTGGAAATATTGTTTGAAAAATCCTTGATGTGGGTAAAAGGGCAGATTCTCAGTTTTGAGTCTGAATTTGCAGCAAGTCTTTAAGAAGAGAACAAAGTTGCTGAGAGAGGGGGAAGCTCTCAGGCAATCCAGGAGGGCAGGAGAGAGGGACCCACCAAAATGGGGGAAGGTTCCCCGCCTTTTACAGCCACCAATCTCCACTCTTACCCACCCTCCAGTCCATTCTTCCTCTATCAAAATCCAGAGTGAATAGTCCTCTTTATTTTTTTTTGTAAAGATTTTTATTGGGGAATTGGGGGATGGGAACAGAACTGGGGAATTGGGGGAAGGGGAACAGACAAGTTGCTGTCCTTTTGTTCTTCAGTCTAGTTGTAGAAGACGTTGCTTCACTGGCCCAAGTTGGCACCATCATTGCGCTCTTCCCCGGTGAGGCAGATCAGTCGCCGGCTTCTGGACGGCCGCTCACGCTGGCTGCTGGCTGCTCATGCTGGCTGCTGGCTACACACAGTAGCCCATGGCAACCCACTGCAGCAGGGGCTGCAGCCTACGCCGTCACCGGCAACTCACAGCAACCCAGCTCCAGGTTGAGCTGTTGTTCAGCATTTTAGCTGTAGAGGGCAGTGTCATTGGCCCTCATATGTGGGATCTGAACCGGGTCCTCTGGCGTCCCAAGCCAGCTCTTAACCAACACGCCACTCGGCCGGCCTGTGAATAGTCCTTTTTAAAAGGCAAAACTCATCAATGGCTCCCTTCACTCTCAGAAGGAATCCAAACTCACAACCACAGCCTCCCAGGCCCTGCGTCATCTGCTCATGGCGGCTGCCCAGACCTCACCTCTGCCCAGCTTCCCTCACTTACACCAGCCACCCTGCCCTCCCTGCTGCTTCTAACTCCATCCCACACACTTCCTGCTTAGAGCTTTGGTGCTTGTTGTTCGCTCTGCCTGGCCCACTCTTCACCCAAATTATTTGTATTTCTCTCCATCACTTCAATCAGGTCTCTTTGCAAATGCTACCTGAGTGGAAGGTCTTCCCACAGACAAATAGCCTCCCCATCTCTCTTCATGCTCTCTCTTTGCTTTGTTTATTTCTGCATAGCCCATATCATACAGTAGTGTCGTTGTTCACTTGTCTGACTGCCCCACTTGTGTGAAAGCTCCTGGAGGGTAGGGCTTGGCTCTCTTCCTCCTTGCTATCTACTTAACATCTAGAATGGGGCCTCCATCACAGAGATGCCCCATAAATATGTGTTCAGTGAGTTGCTTTGCCAAGGGGCAGAGGGCACCAGGAGAGGGGTTGAGACAGCAGGACACTGTCAACAGCAGGAAGTTTTGGACTTTTGCTGCCTGTAGGACTGGGGGTGGGGTGAGGTTTAAGACAACTTCATCTGGATTTTAAGAGGCAGGTAGGCTTCCAACTGGCACATCCGTTAAATGTGAAATAGATCAAAACAGGAGCTGATGAGGTGGAAGCAGTGTGGGTGGGTGGCTGTTGTCCCACTGCCTCCACCTTCTTCCTCAGCCCCTCAGGCACTGCATGTCAGCAAACCCTAGTGGCTTAGTCTCTGAGAAACGATGAACCCTAAGACTTCTACCTCCACAAGGAAGGCATCTCTTGTATTCCGGAGAGGGGACTGGGGAATGGCTGTGGGGAACCCGGGGACTGATCTGCAGTGTGGATCTCTGCACAGGTGGGATTGATGCATCAGAGTGACCCTACAAGTGTGGGAGCCTGTATTCTGAGGGTCCCAGATGTGTCATGCAGGGGAGTGAGGGCGTTTTCCCATGGTGTTTGCCTCAGAGCTCAGCATTGATTTCCTGTGTTTGGTTTCACACCATGTGGTATGCTTCTGAGAATGAAGAGAGAGAGGAGAGAGAGCAAGCAGAGAGCTTGGGGGAGAGGGAGCAACAAAGAAGAGATGAGGTGGAAGTCAAAAGACATGGGGGGGTGGAGGGAATTTAAAGAAAAAGCCTCAGAGCAGGAGATGTGGGGGAAGGAAGATCAAGACAAAGGGAAAGAGAGTGACAAGAGAAAAATTCTGAGACGTTCTAAATTTAATTATGGAAAGCAGGAGAGTAAAAGAAAGACAGGAATTAACCAGGTAATAGCTGTGAGCCAAATAACAAAAGACTGCCCTCATTCCTGAATGTATGTTGGAACTTTGAATCAACCTGGGGGCATCTATCAGGCAACCACTAGATACCACCATGGCCTGAATAGGCAGGAACTTTCAGGGCTGTCACCTGGAACCAATCAGGAGTAGTAAATAGGGCTTCCTTACAGAGAGAGCACCTATCCCAGACCTGCCCCCTTTCACTTCACCTTTTCCAACCCCTCCCCCCCATATCTGCAGCCAATGTAAATCCTTTCAAAACAACTTACATCTTCCTCCCCCAAAACATAATGTATGAAAAAGCCCTTCAACTCCAGGACGGCGGCCATGCTTGTCTTTTCCACCCAGCCCTGCTGATGCTGGTGTAGATTTCACATCCCAGGACCTGGTCTGTTTCTGGCTAGCATATGGCTCAGGAAACCCTTTCTTTTAAAAAGGCTTTCATCCATGGAAGTCAAGATCTTTGTTTAACAAGAGAGAATCAGGAAAGAAAGGCAAACAGAGAGAGGAGAAAATGGCTGGAATGAGGTCAAAGTCATGTCACCAGGACATGCTTATTTTGAACTGGAGAGGAGAGCTCAGACCTTGGTGTCCTCCTGGCTCTGGAATCTCCCCGCCAGGAACCCCACCCTCTTTCCAGCTCCTCAGGGTGTGGTTCCTTTTGTTCCCAGGAGCCCCAGTCCCAGGTGGTAAGCCTGTCAGGGGGTGGGGTGCTCTGAACAGTCATTAATAACCCAGGCTAATTAGTACAGCCCATCCCTGGATTCCATTCCTTCTGCTTGAAGGACCTGCTGAATCAGGGGGTCAACCCTAGATGGGTCGCGGGGTAGGACCCAGGAGTCCGTCCTGGGGATTTCAGGGGGTGAGGAAATCAGTCCTGGAAGAGAAGGGCCTGCTAAGAGAAGAAATCTTTGACAAAACCCCGGGGAAGTTTCAGACCTACGGGGAGGAGCAATTGTCCTATGTGGGCTGCTGCCCCAGCCTGGGGCCCAGGAGTTCTGAGGGCCCTGAGCCCAAAACTGCCCCCAGAGGAGGACCTGTTCACTGTCATCCCTCAGCTTTCCACTTGCCTGCTGGACTGACTCTGTTCCCCTTCTGGTGTCCCCCTGCAGCCCCAAGTCACCCTTCTCAGAGAGAAAAGGTTTGGGAAGGGTCTGGCAGATTGAGGATGGAGAGATGAAAAAAAGCAAATACAGCAAAATGTAACCGTAGTAGAATCTACAGGGTGTACATATGGGTGTTCACTGTGTAATTCTCCCAACTTTTCTATATGTTTGGATTTTTTTTCATATAAAATATCAGGAGAGAGAGAAAAATTGTTTGGCAAGTAGTAGGCACCCCTAAGTGTAAGGCATCAGCTGTGTAACACCTTTCTAGGAGAACTGATGTTTCAAATGGCTGGAGAGGGCAATGGAGCCCTGAAAGGTAGCAGGTAGCAGGTGAGAGCGCCTGCCAACACCCACCAGAGGAGGGAAAACCTCAGACCATGCCCAGAGGTGATTAGTAACTGCCCACCCAAAGCTGCTGACCCTGCATCTGGTGACTTTTTCTCAAGTTTATTCTGCCTCTCCTAAGATCTGGGCCTTGCCCTAATGTGGACCTCACCTGCCACCTGTAACCCTTGGGAGGAGGGGCAGGATAACATGTTCCAGCCCCTGCTTGACAACTGACCCTAAGAGGTTAGTAATGTTTGCACAGGAGGTGAGGTTCACACGATAAAGAGTAGAGGGAGGGCTTGGAACCGGTATAAAAGATCTGGAAGTTTCTGGGGATTTACTTTGCACTTGAAACTGCCAGGTGAGGGGTGACGGAGGCCTGGGCAAAGGTGACAGGGTGACAGGCCTGGGTGACAGGGATGCCTGGATTTGAATTAGGGAGAATTCAAACTGAGCTGGAGAACAGCCTGCCTGGATGGAGTGGCAGGGGAGAACAGGGGCATCAGGGTCTGAGCCAACCATGGGTGCATCGGTGCCTCAGTCTCAGATAAAGGACTGAGGACACCTGGCATGCTCAGGGGCATGGATATGGCTGGATGTGTGTTAGTAGAGAGAGAATTATGACCAATAGACCAGGTATCTGGGATCTAATATCTTGAGCTGGTCCCAACTCCTGCACCTTCTCAATCTACCCCAACTCCACCAGAATTGCTTGGACCCTGGTGTTGTCATCACCTTCACTCCCCAGGTGACCGAGAGACACACCTCTAAAATGCTCCTTTCCTTCTGAGACCAGGTGGGAAGTTAGGAACTAAAACTATACCTCAGATGCCCCGTGAGCCAGGTCAATCTTCCATTGGCAGACTTCCGTTAGGTTTTATGATTTGGAGGTTGCCTTGACTTCTTTAGAGAACTCCTTTCCTGCTCTGTGCTGGGAGGAAACAGGGCTTGACACAGCTTGATCCAGATGGAGAGTTAGGCTGGATCTTCTGGCTAAAATCAGACCAGGGAAAGGCAGAGGGGTTAGGGACACAGAAGATGTTGTCTGCAAGGAACAGGACTTGAGACCATGGATAATCCTTTCTAAACCCAAGACTGGGTCAGTGAAGTCTGGATTAAAGGGCCAAGGAGCCTGAGTCTCAACTGGAGGTCATGGGTGTCTGGATGAACGAATGCCAGAGGAAAAAGGAGTACATCTTCACGTTCTTCTTTCTTCCATTCCAGCCCCAGAATGTTGACTGTTGCTCTTCTTGCTCTTCTTTGTGCATCTGTCTCGGCCACTTCCAGTAAGTGAGAAGCCAGGAGCCCAACACAAGGTCACAGCTATGGCCAAGGCTTTGGGAGGCGGGCTCAGGGATGATGGGGACTAAGTTGTGGGAGGAACAGAGGTGGTGGGGAGAAACCGGGTGCTCAAGGAATTTCTCCCTCCAACTCCTACTTTCTCCTCCAGTTCAGATTAGGTCCTCCTCCTACAACGGAGAGTATGGTGGCGGCGGAGGACAGCGGTTCTCTCATTCTGGCAACCAGATGGACGGCCCCATCACCGCCCTGCGTATCCGAGTCAACAGATACTACATCGTAGGGTAAGAGTCTTTGAGCTTCTGTGGTTTGGGGACCCTCTAGCATCTTACTAACTTGGGAAGTTCTCAGTCACTTTGGATCCATCTGTTTTAATCGATAAGTGCCAGGAATTACGTGGTATGTGAAAGTTGTTAGAGGACTTGAATTCCAGACCTGAGCGGCTGAAACCTACAACCCAAACACACATGACCTTGGGTAGATCGCGTACTGTAAACTCTCAGGGGCCCGGAACTTGTGTAGTTCAGCCCCCACCCAAGGTTTAAATCCCCTGTGGCACCCTCCATCTTTGCTTGATCCCTCTCCCAAAATGTGCATCCTTCCGATCGCGGCTCTGCGTCCTGGGACAGCATGGACAAGGCTTTTCCTTCCTGAGAGCTTTTCAGATGTTTGAAAAATTCCCGCTTTTTTCAGGTGGGGGTGGGGGCCGAGTGAGGGTCGAGAAACTTTCAATTCCAGCTCTGATACTTACTGTCTGGGTGACTCTGGGCAAGTTGTGTTCCCCCTGTGAGCCCATTTGTCGTCAGAATGAGGAGTTGAAGTTCCTTGTATGATCTGCAAGGGCTCAGGCAGCCCTCACATCCTGTGGGACTGGCGAGGGACTTGTCATCCGTGTCACCAATTTGAAGCTCTCAGCATACAGGCCAACAGGTCCTGAGTTCTGAATACGCTGCTCAGCGTCTCCCTCCCTTCCCTGTTCGCCCTGCCCCCAGTCTCCAGGTGCGCTATGGCAAGGTGTGGAGCGACTATGTGGGTGGCTCCCAGGGAGACCTGGAGGAGATCTTCCTGCATCCTGGGGAGTCGGTGATCCAGGTGTCCGGCAAGTACAAATACTACCTGAGGAAGCTGGTCTTCATCACTGACAAGGGCCGCTACCTGCCTTTTGGGAAAGACACAGGCACGAGTTTCAATGCCGTCCCCTTGTACCCCAACACCGTGCTACGATTCATCAGTGGCCGGTCCGGCTCCCTGATCAATGCCATTGGCCTGCACTGGGATGTCTACCCCAGTGAGTGCAGCAGCTGCTAAGCCCCAGTCTCCTGCAGTGGGGTCACGAAAACCCCTCACCACTCACCCCGTCCACCTGGCTCAATAAAACAATAAAAGGGCATAGCTAAGTCTCATGTTTTGTGTGTGTGTGTGTGTGTGTGTGTGTGTGTGTGTATGTGTGTGCTTGCACAGCTGGAATCCCCTCCCGACGCTGGGTGTGGGAATCTCATTCTTTGCTAGGATCTCCATCTGGGTAAGAATGGGAGGATGAGGCAAAGAGGTAAAAGGCTTGGGCTTCTCTTCATTATTTATCAAGAGTACGTAAGATTCCAGCTTGCACCAACTCTGTTTTCAAGGATAGCTCCTGAGAGTGTTTACCCAAACCGGGGCTCTGCGGCTGAGGCCTCCTGGTGGCTTATTGCCAAACTCCAGGTATTCCGCTCTCTAGTTCTCCTCTTGCCCCTTCCCCAACCCACTTTGAGATAGCACCAAAAGGCCGTCACTCTCTTGTTCTGAAACCATTCACTGTATGTGGGGGGCCTGGGCCAAGATCCTCTGCTCTTTCCCAGAACCCACCTGACTCCCCAAGTTTAGCCTCATTGTGTCTTGTTCTTCCCCGCCTTTACCCATAAGCCCTGGCGTCCTTGCTTATTAGGTTTCTCAGAACTAGGGTTCTCTCCTTAGGAAGCCACGACGTCCTCACAGCTGCAACACTGCCAACACCATCCTCAAAACAAGGGCATTCCAAGGCGGGGAAGACTTCCATGAACATAAGGGGTTGGTGAGAGTTCAGGGGAATCGTTAGAGTGACTGGGTTAACTCAGCAACATAAAGCTGCTTTGGAAAAAATTTTCAGGACTCTGGGTCTCGGTCCTGAAACATTTATTCCCAATTAGACAAAGATAACACAGTTACATACATGTTGTACATATGTACAAAGGTTATAAAGAAATAGTAATGTTATAGAAACAAACTCACGCCTATCCTGTTTTTATACCAATTCCTTTCTCTTAAGCAATCAATTCTGTGGAATGGAATAGTATATCATTATAACTATGTTTTGTTTTTTAAGATTTTATTGGGGAATTGGGGGAGGGGAACAGCATTGGGGAATCGGGAAGGGGAACAGACAAGTTGCTGTCCTTTTGTTCTTCAGTCTAGTTGTGGAGGATGTTGCTTCACTGGCCCATGTTGGTATTATCATTGCGCTCTTCCTGAGTGAGGCAGTCGCTTGCCCATTGGACCATTGGATGGCCACTCACACTGGCTCACAGCAGTTTACGAAAGCTCTCGCCCCCTGCCGGCCAGCCCCACTTCAGCCTACACTGTTGCAGGCAACTCACAGAAGCCCAGCTCCAGGTTGAGCTGTTGTTCACCATCTTAGCTGTAGAGGGTGCAGCGTCACTGGTCCTCATGTGGGACCTGAACCGGGGCCCTGCTTCTCAGAGCTGGCATCCCAAGCCAACTCCTAACCAACGCACCCTTCAGCCGGCCCTGTAATTATGTTTTTTATTGATATAAATCACATATTATAAAATTCACCCTGTGTGCCATTTCAGTGGTTTTTAGTATATTCATTGATTGTACAACTATCACCATTCTCTAATTCCACAATACTTCCATCACCTCAAAAAGAAACCTCGTGCCCATTAAGAAGGCACAGGTCATTCTCCTCTCTCCCAGCCCCTGGTAACCACTCATCTACTTCCTGTCTCTATGGATTTGCCTATGCCAGACATTTCATATAGATAGAATCATGCAGCATGGTTTTGTGTGTGTGGCTTCTTCCATTTATCATGTTTTCAAGGCTCATCCACGTTGTAGCATGTATCAGCACTTCAATCCTTTTTATACTTGAATCTGACAGACTTTTGACACATCAGCCATCTGGTCATCTGTAGGTCGGCTTTTAATTAAACCCATGGTTTTCATTCGGTGCCTGGTGAAGGCGCTGGCACCTAAGAGGCAGCCACAGCTGAGGAGGACTCAGTGGTGGGATTCCTGACTTCTGTCAAGTCTACATATTAGGCTTTTGCAGAAGATTTTATTTAAAGAAAAATTGCCTTTACTTAGTATAGTTTTTAAATTGCTGAATGGAGCTAATCACACATTTATCAAACATTTCCTGCTAGGTGCTAGGCATATAAAGACTACTGAAGATTTGATTTTTTTCTTCTGGTCAATGGTTTTATTGGTGTTGTAACAAAGGTGTTTTTCACAGGATGCTAAAAGAGGGGTGATTGGGCCGGCCGAGTGGCTCAGTTGGTTAAGAGCTCGCTCAAGAGTTTGAGCTCTGAGCAACAGCGGTTCGAGACCAGCCCGAGCTGAGCAGCCGC